TCTAGTCCTTTCCGTTTTGGTGCAGACTGAATTCTACCAGTCAAATTTGCAATGTGGCCACCATGCCACTAGGTAGCTAGCCATCATGGTGCAAATTGATTTGATGATATAAGATGGTTGGAGGCAATCGGCAACAGGAAGCCTTGGACACCACCTAGGTTTTGGTGCTAGTTGGCCGGCATTCACCATTCAGTCAGCAAGATGTGTATCTGCAACCACCTTGAAGGAACTCATGTCCCTTCTGGTTACCGGACCTGCGTCACTCAGTAAGTGCTGCAGTCGGTCAGAGACGTTACCACTGAGCTATTCGGACTCGCGATTGACCTCCTGACCTCCTTCCAACCATCTAATGTTATCAAATCAATGTGCACCGTGATGGCAAGCTACCTAGTGGTATGGTGGCCACATTGCAAACTTGACTGATAGAATTCAGTCTGCACCCAAGACAGGAGGACTAGACGCATAACACTAGTTACTAGTGTCAAATCAAGGTATCCACCACAGTCCTCCAGGAGGTCAATAGCGAGCCCAAATAGCTCAGTGGTAACGTCGTTGACTGACTGCAACACTCACTGGGTGACGCGGGTTCGAATCTCAGAAGGGATATGAGTTCCTTCAAGGCAGCTGAAGATACGCCTTGTTGACTGTTGAGTGCCAGCCAACTAGCACGAAACCTAGGTGGTGTCCGAGGCATTCTGTGGCCCATTTATTCCAACCATTTAATACGGAGGGAAGTTATTTCTCTAAGACAATATAAAAGTCACCTTGTATAATTACACGTTAGTATTTTTATTTTTTTAGGCAATGACTTCATTTTATTTGAGCAGTAAGTTTTTTCTTTTAGAATTCCTATTTTTTAACTAAAAGCCACACAGAACTTCGGTGAGTAATCGGCGAGGGATGGGGTGGGGGTTCGGGAAAGTTACCTCATTTGAAAGATGAGTCTAGTAAAATTCTGTTACGATGATTACTACGGCTTTTGTCTTTTTTAGGAGAGTGCAAAATGACATAGGTTAGAAGTTTCGGTAGCAGTGAAGTTTGACTTTACGGGACCGGGTCGCTAGCCTCATGCCTAGCCAACTTTCACTCTTTGTGGGTCTTATTACTGGCTTAGCGAGGTATGGGAGTGCGTCTAGTGGCCTAAGATCGAACCCCGGACAACATGAGGCGTGTTTGGCGAGCATTCCACCTCTGTGCCACCGACGCAAGTTATCAGAATGGTGAAGTTCTAATTATTATTATAATATTATTATTACTATTTTTTCCTTGTTTTCCGAGTGAAACATGCAGCTTCAACAACACATCTTCATTTTATTACGTTTTCTCCTGTCCTCTTCAGCAGGCTGGGCCCATGATTCACCATGATCTATCATATCCTTCTCCCCGACACACCATCTCTTCCATGTCACCTTCGCACTGATGACCCACTCGTCGCTCGTTTCCCATTGGGATTCCAACTGAGCGATGGCTTTCACTGATTGCGACGTCATTCGACGCTCGCCTCAGTGGTGTGTGCCCTATCCATCTCCATTTCCTCCCACATATTTGTTGATCAATAGGTTCTTGGTTGGTTTGTTCATTGGCACAGTTTCTTGTTGCTAATTTTTCCTCGCCAGCCGTTTGATCTTTAGTAAAGAGTCAGCGAAGTGGGCAGTTGTTGATAAAAGTCTTCACTGACCGGTTAAAAATGCTTTCTGTGACTCACGAGTTGGCCAAGTTTCTGGCCTATTTATAGCTGGCTAGTTTCCTAGCCGGTCCCAAGCCCCGGAAAAAGAGAGAGGGTTGGGAGTCGGGTTAGTTACCCTACCCCCAGAAAATCAATCAAACTGCTACAGAAACTTCAACGCGCATGAAAAAAATATTAAAAGTAGAAAAAATATAAAAAACAAACTTTCTTCTCTTTGGAATCGGAGAGGCGAAATGACACTGCGGGTTGGTGAAAGCTAGCCTTCGCGAAGGCATTCAGCCAGCGAATTTATCTTCTCTCGATAAAAGCAATAAAAAGAGTGGGGACTTGGAATGTACGTACAATTTGCGAGGCTGATTGGGAAGGCTACATAGGTAGCCAAAGAAATGAGAAGATATGGTATAGAAGTGCTGGGAATCTGTGAGAGTAGATGGAATGGATGTGGACTGTCAAAATTGTCACCTGAATAGTCAGTAATCTACTTCGGTCTGGTCACCAAGACAACAACCACGAGCTCACTGAGGCAGTGAGTGGCTATCATGATGTCATCAGTGGCAGTCAAAGCTCTAATTCAGTGGGAACCAATCTCCTTCTGCAGGATTATGACAACAAGATTCAACTCAAAAGGAAGGAAGGAAGTTCACAATTATCCAATGCTACACACAGTGCTACAAACAACGCGGCTCAAGAGAAGAAGGAAGATTTTTATCGACAACTACAAACATTAATGGACAACATCCCAGATGGCACCATTAAAATCCTTATAGGCGATATGAATGCCGGCTGAACTTGCAGCAGACAATACAGAAAGAGAACTCATCATGGATCGAGAGGCTCTCGCTTGGCGAATTAAATGAGAACGGAGAATTATTCGCAGACTTCTGGGAATTTAATGACTTGGGGATCGGAGGCAGCGTGTACAAACACAAGGATATACACAAGGCAACAAGAAGGTATAATAAATTTAAAAGCTTATATTCTCTATTTACGCAGAAGTATTCAATGCTTTATAGACAGACACTTTTGTAACCAGTATTTGAAGTAAATAAACAATAGATATGAGGTAGTTTTTATCCGCCGCACCTGATGTACTGTCACTTTGAATTAAGTGCCTTTATTTCTTACGGATTTCCGAACATCACCCTGCATAGTGGTTAAGTAAAGGACAAACCAAAATCTATTCGCAGCGCTATTCTATCTTATCTTGTGGATACAGAACACAAGATTGATGTTAACCAGGCGGCTTTCAAGGTCATTTACCGCATACCAATAAATCTCAATTTCGCCTTAAGAGTTCGACTACTAAATATTGCTCAGGCTGGCCGTTGGGATCCACATAAATTGAGAAGCGTAATTTGTTCATTCAAAAGAAGTTAGTTCAGACATTATCATTATCTTGGCGATCTAGGTTTGAATGATCCTGAATTTTTGTGGAATTTTCCTAATTTTAGTTGATATTCTATTTGCTACTATATCTTTATTATTATTATTATAATTTAAGCATCTTTAATGAACTGTAATTCCATTGTGATCTTACTTTACAAATCGATATTATTTAAAAAACACTAATATTGTTATTGACTACTATTCTAGAATATTCCATGTATATAAACATGCATATATAATTGTAGAGCCAGAAGAGGAAATTCTCGAAAAGGATATTCTCTGCTCAATTATTTTATGTTTCTCAAAAATATATCAAAATATTTTAGATATAATGCTAGCTTATTCCATTGACTGCTATTTGAGTTGTTGTCAGTTTTAACCAACAGATTTCCTGTTGTACTCAGTTATGTCTAGTGCTGAATGAGCTATCTATGTCGGGGAATAAAATAGAAAATGATGATAAGCGTACCCTGTTGATGTTACTACCTTCACCTAACGAAATCCTAAGTGGAATATTTATCTGTATAAGATATGTCGAAATGAAGGATCTCATCAGTCGTTGTTAGCGCTGATCTAATGATCAGAGAATGAATTTATTGAAATGAAAATCAACGGCTTCATGTTCGATTCCGTACAGCATTATGATTGCAGTCATTTTGCTGGCTAGTAGTCAGTAACAGCTAATTGAAAGCCTTCTTGTGAAACGATATCAAGAATGAACCTTCTCAGTCTTTTAAAAGCTTCAGAAGATGGTTTTAAGGAGATATATAAGTGGGACAATATTAAAACCAGGATATGACGTAATAGCTTGTAGAAAAATTACTCTACAAAACGTGAGACCACAAGTTCAGATGTATACTGTCTGTATATATAGATTTTAATATTGGAAACCATGGGGCACTGGACATCTGTTTAGTCCTAGTTTGCGCCACCCTTACAAAGCCACACTGATGGCTACTGGGCAGATGTTCTAAAACTGTACTCAGGAGTCGTGACCAGTGGGATCCATCATATCAAGTTGAAGTCAATGCTCATCTAAGAAATGAGATGAAACTAGAGTTAAATCATAAATTTTAAAAAATATAACAATCAACGGATCACTGAATTCCAGCTTAAGTAGCTGAATGATTAGTAAGCTTAGCCTAGTAACTTCAATGCCTATTAAGGTTGTGGGTACTCATTACTGAAGAGTCCTCAATTGGGAAGAAACACTCGTCCAGTGTATTTCTGCTTTTCAGTAACCTATCTAACTGATTTTAGTTTGTGACAAAGTCCCCACTGTTACTATTGTTGAATAGAACCAAATAGATCTAACGAAGAATAGTCGTTTTTTTCGCTATCTTTGGAGCGTTTTATGACTGTGAGCACCTTAAGGAATTTTTAAACATCTATACATTAGGCCGCAGATATCGGTTTCCTGCCATCAGACTACGAACGAGTCAGTTTTGATCGTAACAAGTGGTTCTAATCCCGACGACAACATTATCACTCACTGAAGTACACATATATTTAGCTGATGAGTCCTAGATAGGACGAAATTAGCCTCCTGGACCCCACTGCGCTAGTCAACAGTGAACAGAACAACTTCACCTCAACTCTTAGACGTATTAGTGAAGCACTGCTCCAACATAAAAATCAATCAAGAGATGAACGCACAGCGGTTAGGATGCTAGCCGACCATGCATATGATCCGGGGTTCAACCCTCGGCCACTGGATGCACTGCTTTACTTCGTTAATAATAAGACTGATATAGAAGAAAGGTTGGCTAGGCATGAATGAGGCTGGCTAGCAACCGCATCCCGTAAAAAATGAACGCCACCACTAGTGCTACAGAAACTTCAAGCCTCTCTCTCTCTTTAGCTTGAAGTCGCCCTATATTCCACTGGGAATGTGAAGGAATAAAAACCCCCCCAAAAAAACACCCATTTAAAAACTGACATACATACATTGATTCAGCAGTATCAGCGTGCCTTTCTCCTCATCATCATTATCAATTGGCTTGTTTATCAACTGGCTTGAGGCATCAATTTCAGCTTTCAAACGATTACGTAACAGAATTGGCAGGGAATTCCATTCGGATTCATTGTTAACATTCACATTCGGTGGGGATTTCAGATTTAATAGACGTAATAATTTTCTTTTGTACTTTTCAATCATTAATAATTGGCTTGCTTCATTATTGATATTATTATTCGCATTATTATTCGTGTTGATATAGGCGGCACCATTGCCGTCAGTATTCTCAGACATCCTATCGGATTTGGGCAGTTCACCTTCACGCTGTTCCCTCCATTTATTTTGATTATCATACAGGGATTTAATGAAATGCTGATTATTATTATATCTTGATAAATAAAATTTTTCTGATTGTTTTAAATACTTTTGTGACAGGAGTGAAGCATCAACTGAAGGGAAAAGTTTTGGAAATTTAAATTCATACCGTGTTGTTGTCGTCGCTGACGTTGTTATTATTAGTAGTATGAGTAGAATCGACATAAAATTAAGCCTGATGTATACGCCTTTTAAGAATTTTAATAATATTGTTAACAGTAGAGTGTTTATCCGACACTGATGAAAGCACTTGATGAGATAGAGGGCTGAATTCTTGAATAGGACAATGGATAGGAAGTAGAAATATTCTCCTAGACAGAGTATTTTTCGATAGATGATACTGTGGGAACTACAGAATTTCATCGCTTAGTGTAAAATTTGTTGTTGAAGCGGATGACACGGAACGGATAGTTAGTTGATTGATTGTGTAGGATGAAGCGTGTTTATATACGCATATTATACGACCTAATTAATAGCAATAATAGCAATTGCCACTGTTATAATCATTATTATTATTATCAGTGTGAATAGCCGATCATACATATACTATACTACTATAAAAGAAAAGGGGCTTACTCAACCACCTAAGCCGAATTTATATGTACATGTATAGTAATCCTTTAAACGAATCATTGTGTTCTTCGAAATGACCAGGGTTAGTTACTCTTTTGTTTGTGTGTATATGTGAGTGCGTGTGACAGAAAGAGGGAGAGGGAGAGAGAAAGCGTGCCAGCGTGCGCCTATGTGAGTTGTTGTCAGATTTATGTGTTTCTTAATTGATAATGTGAAGTTAGTCGGGTTTTAGTTGGGGTTCACTTCAGTTCATCTCTATGTCTCCTTCACACACATAAATACACACACACACACACTCATTCTTACTGTCTTCCCTAATAACTCTCCGCCCTTCTCCAGGCGTCTCTTTTTTTATTCAGCCATGGGAAGTATTCACCCACTAGCACATTCAACAATCGGTGAGTGTGTGTGTATGTGTTTGTGTGACATGGAAGAGGAATCTCTGTAGGCGTATGGGGTGAGTGCGTGTGTGTGTGTGGCGAGGGGGCAGGGTCGGTGACTGTGTAAACTCTAGGGATGAAATCAAGATACCTTTTTACAAACAAAAGAAGGTTACAAATATTGGTTGGCGTTTAATTGGCGTCTATAGATGGACAGACATGAAAAATATTTTCGTCTAGAAGAAAGAAAAGTTTTAGCATACTCGAACCAATAGGATTTTTGATAGAAATGAAATCTGTTTTCCATTGTTTCGCTGTTTTGCGTGTGTCAGTGTGTGCAGTCTAGTCTATTTGAACAATTGGGTACCTCTGTCTGTCTGTCTGTCTGTCTGTCTATCTGTCTATCTATTTTCAACATAGAACTTTGCACTCGATGTGCAGCAGTTCAAATCGCCACACTCCCTCCATGTGGCACACAAAGCAAGAGAAGAAAGTAAAAGGAAATGCAAAATAGAGACACTAAACAGGGATATGAGACAAAAGGAATAGTAATAACGAAGAACAATATAATTTCATTGTAAATTATATGTCACAAGGGGTGGATGCATCTGCGCCAGCCATTGAGAACGATTTTGAGCCATATCACTAATTGTCTCCAGCCTTCATTGGTTTTTACCGTCCCGAGGACTCCAACCAGGAAGTCTACATCTCCCTACGTCACTGGTTTAAACTAACTGTTGTGGATTTCATTGACTGATGAAGCCATGTTTTGGTTTGACCGCCACTAGCTCTTTTCCAACCTGACCCTATGTCAGCTAACATTGCCCGTCGAGGAAGGCAATGGCTAGGCATGTGTAACACATGTCCTAACCATCTCAATCGATGTAGCTTCACAACCTAGTCGATTGATTTCCCCTCCTTACCTAGCACTCGATGCCTAACCGGAATATTGCTCATCCTATTATACCACTTCACACAGGAGATAGAACGTGGGCACCTATGATCAAAGACAGCTAATCTTTTCATGTCTTCCACTCTCAATGGCGGTCAACGTGCTTTACCACTTCACCCCCTATTTCTAAGCTAGGAGTCAATGTAGTCCAGTCCTGTAACATCAAATTACATTTGGCCGGAGCGAATCGCATGCCGAACACTCGTAGATTGCAACTCAAGAAGACTCTGCATTTTGTCACCGTCTTCACCCAGGATGGAGGAGTATATCATCTGTATATTCTAAGTCAACGAGATTGGTTACCTCTAGACAGGAAGAGAAATCTTATCCGTTCTCAGTGCTCGAGAATTCCGAAAAAATTTGCTCTGTAGATACGGTTGACATAGAACGTGAAAACCTACGGACAACTCTTTTAAAAAATGGATTTCCTAGAAGGTTTATAGACAGAAACGTCAAGAAAGAAACTGTCTCCAGTCGAAATACAGTACCGGATAAAACTCTGTTTATGAGTTTGGTGTTCACCAGAAAGAATAAGTAACAAGAAACTGTAGGAACAAACCAACCAAGAGCTGATGACTCAACAAATATGTAGGAGAAAATGGAGATGAATTGGTCGGGCTTACAGTGAGGAGACCGTCGAATGACAATACGCGCCAGGCCATTGCTCGAGTGGAATCCCAATGGGAAACGACCAGTGGGTCGTCAGTGCGAGGGTGTCATGGAAAGGATCATGTGTTTGGGGGGAGGAGATAAGAGATTGTAGGCAATCGTGGACGCAGCCAGCTGAAGAGGATGGCAGAAGATAGGACAACATGGAGATGTGTTGTTGAAGCCAGTCCTCTGTTTCACTTGGAACTCAAGGGTATAATAAATAAATAAATAATATGTTCACCTTTATGTGAATATACTCATTCAAATGCGTTCGTTTGGAGTTGATTACATTGGACGTTGTAAGCGTGTTCTCCGTTAACGCGTAGCTGAACACTACCACCCGGTTTAGTTAATGAAAGGTGAGCATAGAACGACGAAATCTTGAATTTGTGAACACCTTCTGGAGTCAGATCATTCAGCCCCTCACACATGATTTATCCTTTAAAAGTATTTACAGGACCAACCGATCCAAAAGCTTACGTTTTCTTGACTTACGGATAGCTAAAGCTTTAGTTATAGATGGACAGACACCTAAATTATGTGTTCGAAAACGTTTTGTTAAACCCTTTTCTTTATCTTGGTCATAGTAATGTTCATTTTTTATTTTATTCTATTTTACCACTTGAATTCATTCCACTTCACTTCACCTTCGCCATCTTTGTTGTTATCATCACCGTACAGTTAATTTTTATGACAACACTTGACCTATAATTTTAAAATCTTTATACCAGTTCACTTATTTAATAATCTTTAAAAGTGTTGTAAGATGAACCAAATAGTTTTGTCACATCGATGTGCATTTATCAGTTCAACTTCACCTGTGTTGACAGTTATGTCGGGCGTATTACTGTACAGCTTAGACACCGTGTCGCTAATGAACATCTTCCATCGTGGTTTGGCAAAAGACAGACAAAAGCATACTTATATCAACAGACAAAAGCAATCCGTAGCTCAATTTCGTCACACTTAATTGATATTGGTCATGTAATCGAGAAAACGAGAGCCTTCAAAGTAATTCATGGTATCCCACCGAATCTTTCCAATAGACTTCGTATTTGTTTACTGCACACAGCTGAGGCGATAGGCAGTCGAACTACTAAACCTAAACTATGCATTCAAAAGAAGTTCGTACAGCCATTATCCCTTTCTTGGCCTATTAAGATATAACCAACTAATGACTTCTACACCACCCTTTGTTTATATTCTCGACCCCTTTCTTATCATCCCTTAATCTTATCACATCTTCATTAAAAACGTGTTTCTTTCCTTCCCTTACAATCTAACATTACTTAATCGGTTCATTTGTTTTTACTAGCCTTTATCGACTACTTCCACCTGAACAGTTGTTTGTTTAATCATGCTGTTTTTCATTATTCTTGTTGTTACAGATTGCCTCACTTTTTCATCCTTATTATTGATAAAACCATTATTAATACTATTATCATTATTATTGCCATTACTACAGTTATGACTAAATGCACAATTTATATTCACCATCATATTATCCTATAGACAAAACACCGTGATTGGTTTGTATTAGAATTTTTAGTTGTAAAGTTATGTGCGTATATTAGAGTTAAGCCTGATGAGATCTAATTGAAAGCACAATGCTGTTCACCTAAATATGTTGTTCTAAAAGTTTTGTAATTTATCCACTTCAACTCTACTACCTTAGTGCATCATTTTAATTATCGTTATCCTTATTAAGTGTGCCCTGACTGAACAATTTTTGATAATACTTTATGCCTTTTCTATCCGTAATATAAAAACGACTGCTTACAGTTGGCTTGCGAATGAAGTCGTTGAAAAGAAATGGTGATCTTTCGCTGAACAAAACCACTGTGTTTTTCCTAATGAATTGATGGGTATATTAAATTCCCGTATTCTTAGTAAAACCTAAGTAACTGAATCCTCAACGAGCTTGGCCTTGTAACCTCCTAGTCTATGACTCTTCATCACTACACACCAATGACCGCATTTGGGGATCGAACCTAGGACGATCAGATTACGAGGTTAGCACGTAAATAGGCAGCTACTGGAATGCATTTCATTGGCTTAATAATTCAAAGTTCCTCCACTTTCGTGATACGATTCATATTGAAAACAAAACTTCATACATTTGGTTCCCTTGATAAATTTTGATAGAGAAAGAAAGACCAGATTTGCAGTATAAATGATATCATCATTCTATTTCACAGGTTCCCATCAGCTGTAGACTGCCTGAAATTACAGTGGTCATATAGATGATAAAAACATACTTTAATGTTTAAGTGGTGGTAGAGAAGAAATACTATCAAACTGGCGCATCCAAAATGTAAGTATTACAATTTTTAGAAGTTAACTCTTGGATGGTGACTAGCAGTGGAATCCAGGATGCACATTTTGTCCTATTTGGGACGGACTCGTGAGCTGCATGTGCCTGCATTCTGCAGTGAGTGATGATGCTCCCACCGAGGCTCGAACCCAGTGCTCATAGTTTCAAACGTCAAAGCGTTATCCACTAGACCACTTGAGCCACGAGAGCCACTGCCTCTTATGCAACAGGTTGTATTGATTATTAAGTTTTTTAGATTTTTTCGCCGATTGATTGATTGGACCGAAGTGCTCGG